ACATGGTGCCTCCAATTCCTAACCCCCTCAATCGCTGCAGCATGATACCATGGTCAATGGTATCAAAAGCCACTGAGAGATCTAATAGGACCAGGACAGAGGAGCAACCCCTGTCCCGAGCCCTCCAGAGATCATCCACCAACGCGACCAATGCCGTTTCTGTGCTGTACCCCTGCCTGAAGTCCGACTGGTATGGGTCCAGATAGACAGCTTCCTCCAGGTACTGGGGTAGCTGTCGTGCCACCACACTCTCGACAACCTTCGCCACAAAACAAAGGTTGGAGACCGGACGGTAATTTGCTAATACAGCCGCGTCCAGGGATGGCTTCTTGAAGAGGGGCCTCACCACCGCCTCTTTCAAGACGGTGGGAAAGGCACCCTCTCCTGCCGAACAAAAATAAAATTTTTCTTTGAAGAACCTGCCTGCCTCGGAGTTCTGCTTTCTATGGCGTTATTACTTGGATCCCTGACAATCATATTTAAAATCCAATAGTATTGAACCAAACATATACACAACTTCGTAAAATTTTTAAACCACAGGTATACACAACTTCCTAAATATTTATTTTTAGCATTTTAAGTCTAAGCTAAGCCTAAATCCAATCTAAAAAACCCCAATATAGCCCACCGACAAGTAGTATGGAAGAGAGAGCCATTTGTTATGACCAGGATTCAAACTTTTATTGGGTCCATTTATATGCAAAAGTCCATTCGGGCCTAATAAAAATACAGTTACATTGAGTGAAAGATATAATCCTCAACTGCATCTCAAGTACAAGTTATTTCTTCCTTTCTTTTGACTTAAAGAGTCATCGTAATCTGCCATTTGAACAGGGGTGCCTAAATCTTTTGACATTAAATGACATAAAACCATTCATCTGAAATGGGATAGAGTTTCCTGCTTGACCAGGGAGTTGGACCAGAAGACCGCCAAGGTTCCTTCCAATTCACTTATTCTGTTAATTTTGCTGCAAGTTATTTAATCTGTGTACTAATGTAACCAATGTCTATGAAGCTTCACAGTCATTCAGGTCATGGTTGTCCCAAAGGAGGTAACTGAACCTTCGAGTTTTTATTTGAATATTTTTCACTTCTTCAAGAAGCTTCTTAAGTTCTTACTGGATGGTGGGGAATGGAAGGATTTATACTCCTTGTAGACAGCTGGTCATTTGCATCCTTTTAGAAGGTTTATGCTGAAACACTTTTTAGTCATGCAAGTAATTTTGGGGGAACTGGCTAAGATTATTTTTTTAAAAAAAACTTTTTATAGCTTTTTATATAATATGGTTTTATACAGGGGTGTTCCTTATATTTCCATTCATAAAAGTGATAAACTATGTGTGACACCAATTAATAAATCATTATAATACATGGGACTCTTTTCAATGGGGCTGCCCTTGAAAAGTACCCAGAAGCTCCAATTGGTTCAAAATGCAGCCAGTCCATATGGTTTGGTGCAGATTCAGCTGTGCACAGATGTCACATTTATGGAGATTCTCAAACATCCAGGTGATGGTTGTTCCAAGCCCCCCCCCTTTTTTTTGGCAAGGAGTATAAATCATTCCATTCCCCACCAATCCAGTCAGAGCTGAAGAATTTTCTTGGATGAGATTCAAAAGGTCTTCAAAGTAAAACGAGAAAGTCCCATTGCCTCTTAAAAAATAAAGCACCTTTGGCACAGGTGTCACCTTTGCTGTGGGAGCTGCATTGTCTGACAATCTGCTTCTGGGTACAATTAAAGGTGCTGGTTCTCCCCTTTCAATGCTACATGGCTTGGGACCAGGTCATTTGAAGAATTGACTCTTCCTGATCACATCCATGCAATGCAGTGGAGCAGGGAGGCAGGGAACGTTGTGAGTCCTCCCTCTTAAGTCAGGACATCTGGTGGGACCCAGAAGAAGTCTCTTCTTCATGATGGCTCCCTCCCTCTGGAACATCATCCACACTGAGATTAGATTGGTCCCCACTTTGACCCTCTTTTGCAAAGCTCTAAGTACCTGGTTTTGTCAATAGGTTTGTGGAACCCAAAATAGGTTGGAACCTATGAAGTGCCTCAACCAATTGATTGTTATCCCAAGTGGTGTGTTTTTATTCTTTCTATATTTTTTTTAAAAAATTAAGTAGCTCAGAAACACTGAAAGTGATAGGGTGTCCATATACATTCTCTTAAATGTATGAATAAATAAATAAAATTCCTTCCAATGTATGTCATAAGGTTTATTCAAGGATTTTCCTTAAATTTCAATTGATAAAGCTGGTAAACTATGTGGGACATCATGCCACCAATGATGAGAACAGGGGAAGCATCCCTTGCAGAGAAGTCTAGAGTAACTAGTTTCTATCTGAATTAAGGTTTCACTTTCATTATAATTTGGTCCATTTTCCCTATCCATAGCATCTATCGTCTCTGTCTGTCTGTCTGTCTGTCTGTCTGTCTGTCTGTCTGTCTGTCTGTCTACCTGCCTGCCTGCCTGCCCTGCCTGCCTGCCTGCCTGCCTGCCTATCTATCTATCTATCTATCTATCTATCTATCTATCTATCTATCTATCTATCTATCTAGTGAACACTCAAAATTTTCTTCCAGGTTTTTTCATCATTGTAGTCCGTCCCTCTATCAGAGAGGAGTATACATTTTTTTTCTAGGATTTGAGCTGAATTTCAGCTGATTTTCATGAAAAATTCCAGACTTCTTATTCTAAACCAGGGATGTCAAACTCAATTTCATTGCGTGCCACATCAGAGCTGTGTTTGACCTGGGGGTGGGGGCATGGCCAGGGTAGGCTTGGCCAACATGACGTCATTTGTTTCAGGGGATTCCTGTAGTGGCCTTAGTGCTCTGCCAGTAACAATGTGTTCCTGAGCTCAGTTTTCAACTGGGACGGCCTCCTGCAACTCTCTGCCAATAAAAATGGAGCTTGCCAATGAAAATGGGGGACCATGTGTGACCCTCATGAGCTCCATTTTCAGCTGGGATGCCCTCCTGCAACCCTCTGACAGTGAAAACAGAGCTGGGGATGGCTTTGTGCAGCTTTCATGAGCTCTATTTTCGCTGGCAGAGGCACCACAGGCTGGTCCTTTTCTGTTTCTGGGTGGGGGGGCTGCAGGCAACATCTCAGCATCTGTTCTAAACCATGGGTGTCAAACTTGCCGCATCACATTGACTTTGCATGATTTTTGTGACATTTTTCCCATTTGAAGAGCTGGAGTGGGCGTGGCCTTGATGTGATGCATCTGGCTCATGGGCCACCAGATTGACATCCTGCATGCACCCCTCCCAAACTCTGTTTTTGCTGGCAAAGCACTGGAGGAGGCTGTCACAGCCGCTCTCCCTGATCTCGTCTTCCTCTGCTGGAGACAATGGATCCCCTGAGCTCTGCCAGGCCACATAGGTGCCCCTGATATGAGTGATGTTGAGCTGGCCATACCTACCCTGTCCATGCCGACACCAGCCACGCCCACCCTAGCCATGCCAGCCCTAGCCACACCTACTGGCCCACCAAGGTCAAACACAACCCTAATGCAGCCCTCAATGAAATCAAGTTTGACACTGCTGAAATAGAGTGTTGAAAGGGACAAGGTGTTATATTCAACAACCTGGGAAATGGTTGAAAATGCAGCAGCCAAGTCAGGAGTGAAATGCTCCTGGTTCGGACCGGATCGCGAACCAGTAGCGATGGAGGCGGGTGGTTCAGAGAACCAGTAGCAAAAATCTCTGCCCCCCCTCTTGCCCAGCTGAGCCACGCAATCATCAGAGGCTTTTCTTTATTTTTAAAAGCATTTTTTCTACAACCTCTTTGGCCAAAAAAATGCTTTTAAAAGTATAAAAAAAGCCTCTGATGATCATGCAGATCAACTGGGATCATCAGAGGCTTTTTTTAAAAAAAGAAAGCCTCTGCCAATCAGGCAAGTCAGCTGGGATCGTCAGAGGCTTTAAAAAAAATAGAAAGCCTCTGCCGATCAGGCAAGTCAGCTGGGATCATCAGAGGCTTTAAAAGCATTTTTTAAGAACCTCTTCAACCAAAGAGGTTGTAGAAAAAATGGTTTTAAAAGTTAAAAAAAAAATTGCCCACGCCCACTCAGTCATATTACCCCACCACCACCAAGCCACGCACACATAACTGGTAGTAACAAATTTTACATTTCAGTAACTATAATAAACATTAGTGTTAAGAATAATCGTCCATAAATCCTCTTTTGAAAGAATTTTTTTATACTCCCTGTAGACAACAAGCAATCTTTCCCTTCTTCTTCTTCTTCTTCTTCTTCTTCTTCTTCTTCTTCTTCTTCTTCTTCTTCTTCTTCTTCTTCTTCTTCTTCTTCTTCTTCTTCTTCTTCTTCTTCTCCTTCTTCTCCTTCTCTTCTTCTTCTTCTTCTTTCTTCTTCTTCTTCTTCTTCTTCTTCTTCTTCTCTGTGTCAACAATTTTTTCAAGCAAGGGAGATCACATGGGGTACTAATTTCTCTTTGTCAGTTGTTCCCTTTGGTTTAGATCAGGCCTGAAAACAATGACGTAGCACTTTGGCAGGAATATGCATCCCAGTAAAGCAGCACTGGAGGACAAGATGGAGAAGACCTCCACAACTACCATGGCTTTTCCTTTTGTGCTCAGATAAGCTGGAAAGAAGGAGATCCACACACTGCAAAAGGCTAACATGCTGAAGGTGATGAACTTGGCTTCATTAAAGCTGTCGGGTAATTTACGGGCAAGAAAAGCCACAATAAAGCTGGCAATGGCCAAGATACCCATGTAGCCCAAGACACAGTAGAAGAATGAAGCTGACCCTTCATTGCATTGTAAAATCATTTCTTGGAGCTCTGAGTGCATGTCCAACTCAGGGAATGGGGGAGATATTGACAACCAAAGAATACAAATACATACTTGTAAGAGAGAGCAGGAAAGGACAGTAGAAAGAGCCAATCTTTTCCCCACCCATCTCCTCATCTGAGATCCTGGTTTAGTGGCCTTGAACGCCACAACCACAGTGATGGTTTTGGCCAGTACATTAGAAATAGCCACTGAGAAAGTGACACCAAACATTGATTGTCTGAGAAGGCAGGTCACTTTGCCAGGTTGGCTGAGGAAGAGCAAAGAAGAGAGAAAACAGAGCAGAAGAGAGGCAAGCAGGGTGTAGGTGAGGGACCGGTTGTTGGCTTTGACAATGGGAGTATCCCTGTGCTGTATAAAAGTTCCAAGTACCCAAGCTGTCAAGAATAAGAAACAAAGAGCAACTGAGGCCAAACCAATTCCTAAGGTTTCTTCAAAAGTTAGGAACACCACTGGTTTCAGGATACATCCATTGTTTTCTTCATTTGGATAATGATCTTCTGAACATTCAAAACAGTCATCCATATCTGGAAGAAAAATCAAGGAATTGTCATTGTAGTAATTCTATACCATTGAAACTCCCTTAATAATATGCAGCCTAAATTGGTTTAATAAAGGTTCCTTAAGTTCAAAGAAAATTGGTAGAACACCTACCTACCATTTTGGTTTGAAATCTTCCCTTCTGGGCATGGAACACAGTCAAAGCAGCAGAATTGATTTCCCTCAATCCTTTTCTTCCAGGATCCAGGGAAACAAGGGTCATTACATCTGGAAAGTGGAAGAACCTGGTGATAATCATTAAAAGATTTTGAAAAAGGAGAAATGTAAAAGAGTTTGTGATGTTTTTCTTTATGGAGGAAAATTATTCTTGACGTCCACAAGAGTTTATCAACTTCATCAACAACTTAAAAATTTACTAATCAGAATAATGTAGAAATGGTCCTGTTTGAAGGTCAAGGTGAGTAAATAATAACACATGGTGACAATCTAAGGAAACCATGTCCATTCGTATGATTTCAAACAGAAATGGAAACCAAATATGCATACATGGCTTTTACATTATCATTTTGTCAATTTGAAGAATGCTTGATCATCAACATTTGAAAGAATACACCATTGTTTATTTAAAAGACAGAAATTAGACTTCTAAGGAGAGTACATTCAATATGGGATCATAATGGATTAAGGCATTGTTGATTCAATAATTCGATACCTGGTTAAAAGCTGGGTGCCAGACAATCACATCTTCATCAATGAGTAATTCCTTCCCCTTTGGTGCCTTGAGATCCATCTTTCCAACTTTGACTCTCTGAAAGGATCTGTTTGGAAAAGTGATCAAGTTGGTGATGTCAAATCCACCTGTTGCTTCCCCTTTCTCATTCAGGAACACTCTCTCCCCAGCTGAATTGTTAAAAGAAATGCCTTGAAGAAATGAATGGAGCTACTTGAAAGAGAATAGGAGAGGGAATTTATAGCAACATAATAGAAAAGAGAACATCATAATCAAGTTTCATTCAATAGTTCTTCATATTCCAATAACTGTTAATGAATATATACATTTAGAAATTTGATGATCAATATTGCATGGAAATGTACATGTCCACTCTATTATTTATTTGATATTATTTTAAGAAAAGGTAAGCATGAACTGAAGCAGAATGAAAGTAAGCTTTTGGAATGATGTAACTTTCTTCAATTATGTTTTAGGTCCACTACTTAAACAATTAATTCAAGATAGAGCATATATAATATTTTCTCCTTGGTACAAAGCTATTCGAGAGTCTCAGGTTTGACTAATTTCCTTTCGCCAGATTTTGGAACCTGAGACTCAAGCATTCATTGACACATAGATGAGAGGAAGTGATTATTTCAAAAATAGGTTTGTTTGATACTCTGGATGCCACATGTAAAAAGGAACACTTTTATTTTATTCTTGTAAAACTCTGATAGAGACAGAAAACTTTGCTTTTCACCCATGAAAATTTCATGAGCCCCCAGAAAGTCCTTGGAGAATAGATTGTTTTTGGAAGAGACAATGAAATGTAATCTAAATTATCATTTTAACTATATCTTACTGTGCAAGCTATGGTGATTTATTTAATAACTCCTACTGACACTTAAACCATAATTTATATAGTAGCTTCTGGATGATCAGAATAACAGAATGACAGAGTAATAGCAAAACAGAATAACAAGAGAAATCAGTTTTCTGTATCAGCATGGGTTTGTTGAAAACAGATCATGCCAAACCAATATTATTTCATTCTTCAATATAGTGACTAAATTAGAAGACCAGTGAAATACTGTGGAATAATATACTTAAACTTCAGCAAGGCATTCAACAAAGTAGACCACAACCTACTTCTTGGTAAACTTGAAAAAAGTGGGATAGATAGCATCACCAACAGATGGATTCGCAACTGACTGACAAACCATATTCAACAAGTAGTCCTTAATTGGTCTACATCTACATGGAGGGAAGTAAGCAGTGGAGTACCACAAGATTCCATCTTAGGCCCTGTACACTTAAATATCTTCATAAATGACTTAGATGAGGGAATAGAAGGGGAGCTTGCCAAATTTGCAGGAATAGCTAACACTCTAGAAGAAAGGCTCCATTCCCTCTAAAAATTCAATGTAAAGAAAAGTAAAGTCTTACACTGAGGCAAGAAAACCAAAAGTACACATATAGACTGGGGGAAACCAGGCTTAATAGCAGTAGCTGTGAGAGGGTTCTTATTGGACAACCACTTAAATATGAGCCAACAGTGTGTGGCGGCATCCAAAAAAGCCAATGCAATCCTAAATTGCATTAACAGAGGAATACAGTCAAGATCAAGTGAGGTACTAAACCACTCTATAAAGCCTTAGTAAGACCACACCTAGAGTACGGCATCCAGTTTTGGTCACCACACTATAAAAAAGATGTTGAGACTCTAGAAAGAGTGAAGAGAAGAGCAACCAAGATGATTAGGGGACTGGAGGCTAAAACATACTATGAAAAGTTAGAGGAACTGGGCATGGCTAGTCTAGTGAAGAAAAGTACCAGGGGAGACATGATAGCAGTCTTCCAATATTTGAGGGGATGCCACAGATTGTAGGGGCTCAAGCTATTTTCCAAAGCACCCAAAGGCCAGAGAAGGAATAACAGATGGAAACTGAACAAGGAAAAATTTAACCTGGAAATCAGGAGAGATTTTCTGACAATGACAACAATCAACCAATGAATGGAACATAAGTTGCCTTCACAGGTTGTGGTAGCTTCATCACTTGAGGCTTTCAAGAAGAGACTGGACTGTCAGAAATGGTGTAGGCTCTCCTGTTTGGGCAGGGTGTTGTACTAGATGACCTACAAGGTCTCTTCCAATTCTATTAATCTGTAAGCAATCTGTATCTATTTTATACATCACAGTGTATAACAAGGTTGCAAGGAACCTTGGAAGTCTTCTACTTAACCCTACTCAAGGAGGTGACCCTATACCACTTCACAGAAATGGCTGCCCAATCTTTTCATAAAAATCTTCAGTGATGGAGCAAACACAACATCTAAAGGCAAGCTGTTCCACTAATTCATTGTTCTCATTGTCAGGAAATTCTCTCTTATTTCTATGTTGTTTTTTATACTTGGTTGCACATGGAGAAAATATTAAGACTTTCCACATTGGGTTCAAAAAATCATTTTATGTCAAGCTGCTCATTGAAATAAAAGAAGTGTCCAATGCAAAGGAAATACCTGCCAAGCCTGCAGATTTGGAAGATCAGTTTTTTTACGAATCGTAGTTGTCTTCCTATTGAACCTCAACATGTATAGATCCTGCAAAGCATGAGCCACAGAATAAACAGCATTGTAGATACTGTAGCTCTGGCCAGTCATTTCCATTTCAAAGGCAGGTCCAGGAAGATCCTTTAGCTTCATCTCCCCAGTGCATTTTCTACTCTCCATTTCTTGTAACTCTGATTTTGGAAATGAACAATCAAATGCTTGTTCCCAAACTTCCTGCAGAAACCCATCTCTGTAGTCTGAAAGTGGATTTATGGTCTGAAGAAATTCCGTGAAACCTACAACTTCTGTTGAATGAACAGTGAAGGAAATTGCCCCATGGAACATCTGGAGGTCCCAGTTGATTTGTAATCCTGACAATATGAAATCAATCTGTGCAGTCATGATCCACACCTTTCCAAATAAAGTAATTTTCTTGATCCCAGGATTTACTGGAAACATTACAACTCTTAACCACATAATTATGGATGATTCTCCATAGACAAGAACTGCATTGACTTTGCTATTCATCAAATGAATGGAAATCATTGAGATTCTTTGAAAAAAATCTTGGAATTCTTCAAAGTGGGCCACTTGTGAAAGCCTTTCTGTAAACGCTGAGCAGATTCTGTTCTCTGAAAGTAAGGGCTGCATATTCTGTAAGAATTTTTCTCCATTGTTGTTATCAACAGCAAAAATCCCAATCCACGTCCACCGGAAATGATGAAGCAGTTGGATAATCCCAATGTACTGATGGTCTTCTTTTGGGACCATGAAATAAAGTGAAAAGTGCTTACTGGTCTCAAATTCTTCTTGGGGTAATGAGCCATATGTCAGCTGCAAGAAAGTGGAATAGTATTCTCTTGAGTTGTAAGATTAAATGCAATTGTCCAGATCTAGTTTTCATAGAAATATATGCAAGGAAGGAATTGTTTTCCTGAAATTCTTCTAGGTATTAATATGGAAAGGAATTACTTGGAATTATTTCAAAGACATATAACTGATCAATTGTTTTCATAGAAGCAAAGAGTTCAAATCTTCCATCTGGTATGGAATTCATATTTTCTGTATTTGGCATAGTAGTTTCAAAATTATGCTAACTAATAGACCTTAAGCCAGGAAGAACATCTTAACACAAACCTGAGGCTAAATTTTAATGCTCCTTAATTATTCAGTTATTCAACAGCACCAGAATATAGAATTTTTCTGTTTAATCCTTTCACAACTTACTTGTGGAATCTTGAAGAAACTTGTAATTTCAGCAATATGAGATGATGTGACAAAATCCAGCCCCCAATGATAGCCATGAGATTCTTCTGACTATCACATTTGTAGTTAGGGACAAATTCCAGGGATTTGAAAAGCATGTCCAGAGTGGTGCGATAGGTCATCCTTGCATTGAGGTAAGTGTCATAGATGTGGAACCCAAGAGTGATGTTAGGTAAGATCTGGGAGTCCTCATTGATCTCCTTCACAGCAAAGGCCAAGGCAAGGATGTGTTGATGAAATTTGGTGAATACACTGCAAATAGTTTAATCCCCAATTGAAAAAAAAATAATTTTATAACCTTGTAAGGTGGCATCATTTCTATATGAATAACAATATTTTTTCTCTGACTGTAGTAGGAAGATTATAGCTTTGGTACAATGCTTCATAATACATAGAATAGAATAGAATAGAATAGAATAGAATAGAATAGAATAGAATGCAGGAAGGAGGAGGAAGGCAGATGTAGTGCCCAACTGCAACTGGGGGTCCTGGATTTTTCAAAAAAGTCACCTGCTTGAGTCTCTGCACAGAGAGACTCCCCCCCCAACTCATCCCTGGGGCTTGGGCAAGGCTGGGGCAATCCCTCCCCCTCCTGACTTCGGGGTGCCCCGGGGCAGAGAGGATGGAAAAAGACCCACCGGTACTCGGCTCACACTCCTCCAGGTCCTCATCGTCGCTGGGACACTCGGCCGAAGCCACCAGCAGGTCGTCTGAATTCTGGAGAGAGGGAGAGAAAGGCCTGGCGGTCAGCGCGGGGGGGGGGCAATCCACAGGGCTACCTACCACCCCCCCATCCAACCCACCAGTCCCAACATTCACCAATATTGGCTTTTTTTGTTTGTTTTAAAAGAAAAATCTGCCCTTCTCAGTCTCTGGCACAAATTTCTAATTCTTGGTTAGGATTGAAATCCCCCACCCCAACTTCTTCCCTTCTATGATATAAGATGCCCTCCTCCCATTTTTCCCCAACACAACAACTTTGTAAGATAGGTTGGGCTAAAGGGGTGTCAACTCGCAAAGCATCCCTGGCCTGGGATGCTTTGCGAAGGGGGAGGGGAAACCGATGAAGCAGTACGGCAGCCAAATACAGGAGCACATTCCAGACATATCTCTCTCAAGGCTGTCTCCCAGGGTTACCTACAGCAGCTGGAGTGGTGTGACCTCTACAACCCGCGAAATTGCTCCGTTGGCAAATGTGATTGATGACACGTCCTGGAGGGAGGGTGGGAAACAGGGTCATGACTGGGGCCTAAATTACATGGGGTCAGAGTTGGCTTCACTTGGGAACGTGCGGACATGAAGCTCCTAATAAATAACTGGATTTCTTTTGAAGCTTGGCTCGAGGCTCATGATTTAATTAGGGCATCCATCGGAACCCTGACAGCAGGCTAGTGCAAAGTGGCTTCCAGGGGTCCTTCAACCAGGCCCCTGTCCATTTGTCTCTGCTTCTGGACAAATGGACAGATGTCCTCAGTCCGTCTTCCCGGTCTGAACTCCTGTCCACACAATGTGATGCCCGCCTGCACCTGCCTGTGAGATCCTAGCTCTGATCAAGATCAATCAATTGGAATAGAGCTGGAAGGGACCCTGGAGGTCTTCTAGTCCAACCCCCTGCTCAAACAAGAGACCCTTTTCTCCTCCTCCTCCTCAGAATAATGCAGTTGGAAGGGACCCTGGAGGTCTTCTAGTCCAACCCTCTGCTCAAACAGGAGACTATGCTCCCCTTCTCCTCCTTTCTTCTCCTCCTCCTCAGAATAATAGGTTGGAAGGGACCCTGGAGGTCTTCTAGTCCAACCCCCTGATCAAGCAGGAGACCCTGCACTCCTTCTCTTTCCTCCTCCTCAGAATAATAATTGGAAGGGAGCTTGGAGATCTTCTAGTCCAACCCCCTGCTCAAGCCAGTGTTCTGCCCCAGCTACGGGTCCCAAGAAGTGTACCACACACACACAGCTCCAAAAACTCCGTTTAATACAAACAGACCCCTTTCAAAATGCAGGCTTTAACCACCAATGTCCTTATCAGCCTGCTATGAATTACAGAGTTTAAACAAAGTCCGACAAGGGTTGGCAATCAGCCCAGAAACCAAGTTGTAACAAAAAAACTCACTCTCAAAATGCTCTGCGTAGGACCAAACGTTGTTTCCAGCAACGTTTGCTATCTGTGTGCGAACTTAAATAGGCTAAAGGGAGTGGCCAATTAACCCCAAGCCTTACTCTCGAGGAGACCTCCTCCTGAGTAGCCACTCCTGCCTATTGGCAGCCCTGGGTGCTCGAGCATTGAGGAGAGGCTCCTCCACTTCACTCTCTTCACTTGAAGGAGCCTTTGGAGGTTCTGAAGGCCCAGGCTGAGTCTCTGCCTCTGGCACCACATCCTCTTCAGCCTCCTTGCTATCCAACTCGAGCGCCGGCTGCACAGGCTGCTGGCACAACACCACACTAGTCTCCTCGGCGTTGGGATCGCCCACGATCTGCACAGGCCGCTGGTGGGCCACAACAGCCGGAGACTCTACACCTTTTCAGAAAGATGGCTGTCCAGACTTTTCTTATAAACCCCCCGTAATGAAACACCCATAACCTCTGAAGTTCCAGTTGAACCGGTCTGGAAAATGCCCCAGGGGGCGGAGGGGCGGCAAAGGTGGATGATCCAGGAAGGGTGGGATCTTCTACCCAGGACCTGCCCCATTGAATCAACAAAGCCATCCAAGCGACAGAAGGAAATTTTGGGATGCAGGCTGGAGTATCCCACAGGGGCTTTGAAAATCCCCCCAGTTGCTTTCTCAGAACGTATCTCATCTGCCGATTCATTTTTGGATGGGTGCAGGGGTGAAATCTACTTACCTTCCTTACCGGTTTGGAAGCGCACCTGCCCTGCGCGCGTCACACGCGCACGCAGACCCTCTGCGCATGCGCAGACGGTAAAAAACACATTGCTTCCTGGTTAAAACCAGGAAGTAACGAAACCCAGGTCGTGCCGGAGCCTCGCGCCGCTATCACTACCGGTTCTCCGAACCACCTGCCACAATTTTTTTTTTTTAATTAGATTTATATGCCACCCTTCTCCGGAGACTCAGGGAGACAATGCATTAAGCAATAGCCTTCATCCTTTTGTATATTTCATACAAATTTTATACAAAGTCAGCTTATTGGCCCCACAAACTGGGTCCTCAATTTACCTACCTTAGAAAGGATGGAAGGCTGAATCAACCTTGAGCCTGGCGAGATTCAAACTTGCAATAATTGCAGACAGCTGAATGTTAATAACAGGCTTTTAGTCTGTTGAGCTATCCAGGCTCTTAAATCTTCAATTGCTACCGGATTACTCGATCCGGTCCGAACCGGGAGTATTTCACCCCTGGATGGGTGGGTGACACACAGAATGTTTCTATAGTGGCTTTTCCCAAAAGGCAACTGCAATTCCTGCCCCCCCCCCCTTTGGAAAAAGAAACAGAACCGAAAAATACTTCTTGGATGAGAAGCAAAAATTATTTTCAAAGGCTGTTAGCCCTCTCTCCGAGAGTCGTTTGAGGCCACTTGGAACTGCTGAAAGGCCCATGTTGTAGACTGGAGAGAGATGATGTTCATAGCCCTCTCCCTCTGTCGAGAGAGGGCTCTTCAATTTTGACATAATGGCCTCTTTCCAGGGGTGGGATTCAGCTGGTTCGGACCGGTTCAGGTTAATTTTAATCTGGTTCGCTGAACCAGTAGTTGCAAGGACTGGCTGACCCTGTCCAACCCATCCTGCCCCTCCCAGGAGTCTCCATGCGGCCCGTTTTGGATGTCAGGTAAGTGCAGTGCCCGCATGGAAGCTCTTGGAGAGCGAGAAACGGGCCTCCGAGAAGTTCCTGAAGTCTGGAAACGGGCCCGTTTCCAGCCTCCGGAGCCCGGGGGAGACTGTTTTCGCCCTCCTGGAGACTCAAGGAAAGCCTCTTGAGCCTGGGGAGGGTGAAAAGGCCCACCCCGGCCATGCTGCAGGAGGCCAAGTAGGCCATGCCCCCATGGCCACACCCACTTAGCAACCGGGCAACGAACCGGTTACTAAAATTTTTCAATCCCCACCCATTTTGATCCCTCTTTCAGCGGTCCTCTCTGTCCAAAATGTGGACTTTGCCATCTTCAAAAGAGCGGCCTTTGTCTTTTAAAGGCAGATGGACTGCCGCATCTAATCCTGATGGTTTTGTTCTCCTATGTTGTGCCATGCGTTTGCGAAGTGGTTGTTTTGTTTCTCCACCAATCTCCTGTCTATAACACGGGCCTTTCAGCCGTTCCAAGAAGGCTCCACACCCATTTGCACCACACGGGTGACCCTGAGGGCATAGCTAAACCTCCAAGTGGCCTCAACGGCCCTCTAAAAAGGATGCAAATGAACCAGCTGTTTGCGGTAAGTATAAATCCTTCCATTCCCCACCATCCAAATCAGAGCTGAAGAAGCTTCTGGGATGAGAAGCGAAACGTCTTCAAAAGAAAAACCAAGAAAGTCCAGTTGCCTCTTGAAAAAAATAGCACCTTTGGGACAACCAGGACCTGGAGGACTGAGAATCTCCATAGACAAATTTGGTGACTTCCCAATCTGCAGCTTTATTTTCGCCTTATTTAAGTATCCCTTGAGACTTTCAAGAAGAGATTGGACTGCCATTGGTCAGAAATGGTGTAGGGTCTCCTGCTTGAGCTGGGATGGATGGGTGGGTGGGGGTTGGACTAGATGACCTACAAGGTCCCTTCCAACTCTGTTAACCTAGTTTAGCCCTGTGGGAATATTGAAACGGGGCTCGTTGGAGAGACTGTGGGGTTTAGGAAGCAGTGAGGTCTAAATGGCCACAAAAACTTTCTCTAAGGGGTTTTTTGGTTTTGGCAGAGCTGCTACCCCCCCCCTTTTTTTTTCCTCTCTCTCTCTCTTCTCTATCCTGCTATGGGCTATTTGTATAGAGCGAGCAGAATTATTTTTGCCAGGTTCAAAAGCAACAAAGAACTTCCCAGGAATGATGGCGAGAAGGATGCCAGGCTTGGAAAATTTCACATTTTTTCTCTCTGCTCCCCGCCACCCCCACCCCACCAAGCTGGCATTAGTATTCCAGAGCGGGCATCGCAATGCATTAATGTCCCTCTACGCCTGTCCAAATTAGCATGACAAAGACTTGGACGGGCCTCTCCGGCAGGGAGTCGGCTGCGGATGGACCCCCACCTCAGAGACAGCATAAAATAAGAGGCAGCTTTACATTCCCCTCTCACCCACCCCCGGTCCTCTTCTCACTTCTGCTTGTAGCGTTCCCAAAGGGGCTTTTTTCCCCCCAAGACTTTCTGGTTTTTTTTTCTTTTGAAGACATTTCGCTTCTCATCGGAGAAGCTTCTTCCGCTCTGACTTGGATGGCGGGGGAATGGAAGGATTGATACAGGGGCGGGCTTCAAAAGCCTAACTCTCCCTTTTAAAATTTTTAAATCGTTTGATTTGTTTTATAAATTGGGTGTTTTAAATTTGTTTTTCGGCCAAAATATTTAATAATTTTAATGGACTTTTAATGTTTGTATTATCTGTATTTTATCTTGGCTGTTCACCGCTCTGAGTCCTCCGGGAGTAGGGCGGTATAGAAATTTGATAAATAAATAAATAAATAAATTTTTTTAGCAAGGGGTTCTCTGCCTGGTTGCTTGGTGGGCATGGCTTAATCAGCCTCCTGCAACATGGCTGGGGGGCGGTTTTGCCCTCCCCAGGCTCCGGAGGCT